AATTTCCACAGAAAGTCTGCTTCCTGGCTGAACCTGTCTGCCAGATCAGCGACCAAGGAGTTCGCTTGTATGAAAGTCCTGCATGATCGCCAGTTTCCGGTGCTTCAACCTTACGACCTCAGTCGACATTGTGTGGTAATGGAACTGATCAAAGGTGAGTCTTTCATAAGTAAATTTTCATGTTCAAAGCCTGTATATATAAACGTGTTGTTTAGTTTAAGAGAATAGCAACAGATACAGGGTGTATCACAATTAAGGGGCAGACTAAACTTACATTTGTTTAAATGGAATTCCGTACTTTTTAATGCATATTCGAACTATAACTCGAAGTGCAGGTCTATTCGATATAAATGTTTTACATTAATTTTCTGTTTTTGAGTTAATAGTTAATATTGACTTAGTTATTGGCAGTTTATTTTCAGATGATACCGATTGATACAAAGTGTATGAAATTCAAGTGGCAAACCAAATTCACATTTCTTAAATTACGCGCCTATCTTTTTAGTTCATAATCAAACTATACTCACAATTCTAGGCCCATTTGATATAAATCTTATTTTTTCAATTGTTTTTTTAGTGAAAACCAATATTGCTTAAGCTTTGGTGATCCCGATTTTGCATTTATTTTGAAATGGAGAGAAAAATCCAAAATACCAAAGTTGTAAATATTAAAGGCCGTAACTTTTGTTGAACTTTTATTCTATACTAATGTTGGTATTCTCTGAAAATAAACTATCATAGTTCGAATATGCCTCAAAAAGAACGGCGTTCGATTTAAAAAATTTAAGTTTGGTCTGCTACTTGAATTTCAGACACCCTGTATCAATTGGTATTAGCTTAAAAGATGTTATACGTTAATATCAACAACTTTTCCATTTAATTGTTTGTCTCTCAATATCAAATTAAATACAAGAGCGGGGTGGCCAAAGCTTAACCAATATTGGTTATTAACACAATAAGCATTAATTACAATATCATTGATAATTAAAAACAATTGAAAATTGAAAAAAAACAACTTTTGTCATCTCTGATAGGACTTAAAGTTCGATCTAAAAGTTCGAATATGGAATAAAAAGATCGGCATTCAATTTAAAAATATGTTATTAAACTAGACGTTAATATCTACAACTTTTTAATTTAACATTTTTCTCTAAATTGCACATTAGTTGCAAAAACGAGGTGGCCAAAGCTCAATCAA